GGAACACAAACTCCAGTCTTAACTGGATATATCTAGACTGTCAATTCAGCAATGACATTTTTGATCTGACCATTCACATATATTAACACAATACCTACTATTTCAAAACCTACAAGTATCAACCCTTTCAATGTGTACAGTATATTCAAACCATAGACTGTATAAAACCTACCAACAGCTTGTCACAACAAAACTTCCAATTACAACAAAGTAAATTCAGTTTAATAAGAAAAAAATTATCTGTACCTTTGAAATCACAGTGTAAACATTTAAATCCTCCTTGAAAATGACATTGTTGGTGTATCTCCCACTCCTTGTCTGAGTGACACCATTCCAGACACAGAGAACATTGCACCAGACCCCCAGACTCAGACTGACAGTGATGCCGCTGATTATGCCTTTCTTCATGTGCATCACGAGAGTCAGCTCTCCTAAATGTCCTGGGGCAAATGCTACATTTATGCCTCTTTGAGCCTTTTCTTTTTCCATGTCCTCTCCAGTGTTGCTCCATATCAACCCAGTCTTCTGATTCCCAACCACAGTGAGGGCACCTAAAGGCTTGGTCTCCACAATGGCATTTCAGGTGCACCTCTAGCATGCTACGACTGGAAACAACTGTCTGACAGAGGATGCAGGCCAATCTGCCGTCCTCCTCAGATGGCTTCTGCATTTCAGCATCCATGTTGGCATCTCCAGCATCCTGCTCACCTTCTGGATGGGACAGGCTTTTTGCTGAGGACGCAGACTTAGGTTGACACTTAGTGCTTGAAATTCTGCATAACCCAAGAGTCATGAGATGAGCCGACTGGGCCATCTCTTCATCCTGGATTTCTGTACCCATTCCACTGTTCAAAGGAACGGCCAGATCTGTGTTATCATCCTCCAGCTGAAACACAGGTTCCTCCTCGCTGTCCCCATCATGCCTATCCTCCTCAAAGAGTGTGCTTACCTTCATAAAACCAACATTTACAGTTACATTTTTTCACATTTCAAACTAAATAAATGAGATTGTTCACGCAAAATGAAAATCATGTCATCATTTACTCACGCTCATGTTGTTTCAAATATATTTTGAAGAATGCTGGTAACCAAACAGTTTTTGATTGGACAAAAAATACAATGGATGTCAATGGGAACCAAAACTGTTTGGTTACCAACATTCTTCAAAATATTGTATGTTCCACAGAAGAAAGTCAGTCATGCAGATTTGAAACAACATGAGGGTGAGGGTACACTATCCTTTTAACATTGGAGGAATCTTTATAGTCACCTCACAAGTTTGTGCCACATGCAAATTGCCATCAGAGTTGGAGCCCAGGCCAATGTCACATGACCGTGGGCTGATGTTTTGAAACATGCCGTACATTGGGAGGAGGAAAGACATGCGCTCCATGTCCATCTGATCCTCGTTGCTTTTTGAGCCAGAATGGAGATCACTCTCTAGGTCGTATGGAGAGCCGTTGTGGTCGACCTCCTCTTCATCATCAACCCTCATTCCTACACCCAAACACTCTTCATCCTCTTTCTCCAGACATGACAGATGGGGACACGGGGACACTGGATCATGTCTTTTCAAGACATGATGGCTAATCTTGGCTTTTTGGCTGCTGGTAAACTGACAGACTCTACATCGGTATATTTCAACTAAGAAAGCTTCCACTAAAGTGGACACATGAGCTTCGATGCCCTCGGCTGAGCTGCAGTAGAGACTGGAAGTGACATTTTCTTCTGCAAGTCGAAGGGTTACTGGTTGAACGTCTTCGAATGTATCTTTAAATCCACCCATTCTTGGAAACAGTGGAGAAGAAGGAGAATAGTTCAGTTAGATAGTCATTAGACAGCCTTGTAAATTATCTGGTGTATGAAACATTCAGTGTTTTGCACTTCAACAAGGCTATTAGGGATTGGATATATTCATAGCTAATTAATTAAGTAGATTTATTGTACAGCCTGTTATTGCACAACACTCTGAAGCACAATGATAATGTCAGACGTACAGACTGTAGAATATGATCAATAACAACAACATGTAAACTAGTTACCTACTAGCCCTACTAGCATCTTAAACACAAACGTCATCCAATATTTCAGAAAGCAAGCTATATTTGTGAATTAACTGTTAAATCGTTCACAGTTTAACTATATATATTTGTTTGTGTGCGTGTGTGTGTGTGTGTGTGTGTGTAAATTGTGTGCGTACCTGCATCAAACGGCGTTGTATCTTTAAATTACTTAGCTTGTGTTGTAGACGTAAACGTGCGATTTAGGGACCACTGCGTAATTACCCTACACACATACAGCGTAAAATGTACCCTACACACATACAGCATTTGCTACATTTTTCTCTTTATTGACAAACCTAAACACTATTCTCATAAACAAACACAATATTTGACTGGTTTAAACTAAGTGTGTGGGCAAAAATAGGGAACAATAAATTTATGACGACTGTTCGTAGCCACGTAATTTTTAAGATCCCTGCCTTCATGTTCGTTCTTCTGCGTTTCTGCGCATGCGTGGTTTGTTAGAGGTCCAAACGATTGATTCAACGATTCAGTCAATTTGTTCTAAATTTTCACTGTACAATAATGTATACTGAGAAGTAAATTATAATAACATTTTAAATTGATATTTGGAGGACAGTTTGATTGCTTATTTTTAAGTTAGTACTGGTAGCATAGCCTGACTGAATAGTGAATCGACTCTCTTTGTCAATCGACTCAGCCGGAATAATCAAGATGGCGAACATGGACGTGTTAGCCAAAACAATAGCAAAGGATTATGTGTAAGTAACACCTTTACAGACTTTATATTGCATCATTTTGGTATTTAGATATATAAATATAGGTTACGTGTATTTGAAAATAAAACTTTTCCGTACAACTTTTTTAACTAGTAGTTTTCTGTCAGTATCAGTTAACGCACTTCTCTGTCTCGGTGGGCAACATAAACCAGCTGTATGTTTTGTTTTTATTTTGTATATTACTGCACTTTAAACCAACAACAATGGAACATACGTCTTGAATACCTTGTAACTCTGGTCATTTATCGAAACCAGACTATCTTGGTTGTTCTCTTTGGAAAGTATATTAATATTATGTTACTGTAATTTACTCTTTTCCAGAGATGATGTGGAGAGCTCTGACAGTGTGGATGAAAGTGAATATGTACCTGGTGAAGATGGAGCTAGAAAAGCAGATAACATGGACATTGCCAGGGTGGAAAGACACAAGAGAAGAAAACACAAACATCGGAGCAAGCACAGAAAACATAAATGTCCCTCACCAGATGACAGGGACCACAAGCACAAGTACAAATGCAAACATAAGCGGAAACACAGAGACTCATTCCGGGATGATCAAGACTGTTCTGCTGGCTATGAAGGTGCAGTCATCTCTCCAAAGCGATCCAGACTTGATGACCTTGCTGCTCTGGAGGATCTGGAGAAACAAAAGGCCATGATTCAAGCAGAGCTTGATAATGAGCTGATGGAAGGGGCTGTGCAATCAGGTATGGGACTGATATTACAGGGTTATAACTCCGATTCAGAGGAGGATGAGAAGATCCAGCAAGCTGTGCGAAATGGTGAGCAGAGAGAAGATTTTGATGAGCAAGTAATAGCGGTGGGACATGCTGGAAGATCTCGACAGGATTACATAGATGAAGAAAAAATTTATCCCTGGCTGGAAGACAGAAGCACGTCTGACGAGATGGCAGTTCGGGCCCATAAATCAGAAAAAAGAGTTAGTAAGAATGGGTTAGATGTTAACATCAGTGAGAAACCTAGTGGCCCCATCCAAGCAAGGGAGCGGAGACGGTCCCGAAGCAATGAGAGATCCAAAGACAGTAGTCAGAGGTCTAAATCTCCTGTGAAGTCCAAGGGATTGCCATCAAGCAACAAAAAATCAACTACACGGCCTGAAGAGCAGATTGAAGACCACAGATCCTCAGAAAGAAGGAGCAAGTCTAGGTCTAAAGAAAGAAACACAAGCTTGCCAGAATCTGACGGAGAGAGATAAAAAATCAGTGAAAGCACCCTCAAAAGAAGCCTCATCTGGAAAAGAGAATCAATCTCCTAGCAGAAAACAAGGTCCAAAACAGCACAGTCTGTCTGTTCGGCCTAGGGGCCACCGCTCACCTGAACGCTTCCCTGTTGTTCAGAGCACAGACAGGGCATCCAGACAGGACAGATCTTCATGTCACAACAGATCCCCTACAAGGAGAGGCCCATCTCAGTCTTTTGAGAGGAGACGGAGAGAAGAAGAACGGCAGAGATTCTCCAATGACAGGTTCTAGCTCTGTTTGTTTACATTTTTGATAGATAGATTATTACTGATATTGTTCTTATGAACGTTCCTTGTTGTTACCCAAAATGAAACTTCTTTTAAACTCACTTTCATATTGTTTTGTTATACTCACAGGATGCGATCTCGTGATGCCACAGAGGGCCATAGAGAGGAGAGTCCCTCTCTGAACTCCAGACAAAGGTTAAACCACTCCCCTGTCAGACGAAGGTCCCGTTCTCCCAGGAGACGAACTAGCAGGTCTCCTCTCACACACAGGTGACTGTGGTGTGTGCTAGCATTTAAAAAATGTGCAACTCCTCATTTAGAGGATACAGTACAACTGTTCAATAAGCTTCAATGAGCTAAAAGTAAATGCACAATGAATAATTAATAAATTTGTATCTATTTTACACATCCTCTGTAAAAATAGCGGTAAAAGGATTTGGTTTGCTGTCCTTGAACGAGGGGCTTTAATGGAATTTTAATGACAAGGGGCATCACATTTACATCTGAATGCTAATTTACTTATTATAACATCTCTCAGTAGGATTAAAATGGCATTAATATTCTGTAGATCTAGGGAGCATGGCAGGATGGAGCGCAGACTGCAGGTGCGTTCGGGATCACAGGAAAGGAGGAAGAGCATCTGAATGCTAATTTACTTATTATAACATTAAATAATTGATTAAAATGGCATTAATATTCTGTAGATCTAGGGAGCATGGCAGGATGGAGCGCAGACTGCAGGTGCGTTCGGGATCACAGGAAAGGAGGAAGAGAAGGAGCAGGGAAAGAGAGGACATGTTTAAGGGCAGTCTTTCTGAAGGAATGAAACCTGAACAGGAGGACTCAGATGATGAAGTGTTAGTATTAATGATTATAATGAAAATGCTTTTATGTTGCTGATCATATTTGGACTTAATCATGAATACTAATCGGTGTCTAGGCTAGAGGATTATGACGTTGATGAAGAGGACGAGGAGGCTTTGATAGAGCAGAGGAGACTTCAGCGCTTGGCCATCATTCAGGTTAGAACATTTTTATCTATTATGTGGCTTATACTTTGTTTTACATTAATGTAACGTACACTAAAGATTGAGATAAATAAGATTTTTTTGAGGAAGAAATTAATACTTTTATTCAGCAAGGATACATTAAAATGATCAAAAGTGACAGTAAAGACATAATGTTACAAAAGATTTCTAGATTTCAAGAAATGCTCTACTTTTAAACATCCTATTAATCAATTAATTATAAATAAAAATGTATAACAGTTTCAACAAAACATATTAAGCATCACCACCGTTTTGTTATATGTTTCCAACCCCCAGACTTTTGAACGGTAGCATATGTAATGTGATTGTATTTGTAATGTGTCCTGTACAGAAATATAAGCCAGTAAATGAGGACAGTAACATATCAGGACTCTCGGATCACGGCAGTCCTCAGAGTAGCGCTCAAAGCAGATCGCCATCACCTGATGACATTCTCGAGCGTGTGGCTGCTGATGTCAAAGCCTACGAGCAAGAGAACCTGGACACGTTTGAGGATAATGTGAAGGCCAAGCATAGTCTTGTTTCTCAAGAAAAAAATGGTATGTCATCTGCAAAATCTTTGAATTAAAAGTGAACTTTCCACATTAAAAAGTTTTACAAATTAAGTTTAATGATGTACACATACATCAGATAAACGGATATATTGTACAAAAGGTGGTCCCTGCTCATTTTGAGATCGCATGACCAGTGAGTGCTCACAACTACTCATATAGGGATGGATTAAAAATTCTACTGATTCATATGCAGTGATCATAAAATTTTGAATTATTTTTGCTGCCCAATAATCTATTTAAAAATTGTACATTTTTGCAATTTGTTAGTTTATAATATTTATAATAAATACCTACACATAGGATATTTCTGTGACAGCACTAGTACTAATAACATTTGCTTGATGCTACATCCATGCCAACAGGTGTCAGTATAAAATCTAAGATGGCTCTCATATCAGTTATTTAGGAAGACAAAAAGAAAGAGTCATTGAAATTGGAGACATGAAACATTTACTCTGATGTAATGTAAGGTCTGATACGTTATCAGCAAGCCTACGTTCCTTTCATTGCATCATTGTTCTTTTTCTTTAGGTGGTAATCTGAAAAAGCCACCAGCGCCTGATATGTTCACAGAGTCAGATGACATGTTCACTGCTTACTTTGATGTGAGTAGCCAAGTTCCTGCTTTCCATTGCATAGGTCAATGGCTTTGCAAGCTCCAGAATTTGATTGAATTTGTCCATGTAAGGGGATCTCTACAGGTAGAGTTGCATAGTCCTGTGCAAGCTGTTGTTTCTCTGCTGGAAACTTTGTTGAAAGCTTTTTTCCCCAAGTATGTAATCTGACTCTGGTGCTCACTGGATCTCGAGGCCCCTCAGACGTTGAAATGGTCTCTTACGGTGTCAGTCACTCGTTCATGAATGAAAATTTTAATCAACTCTCTGAATTAAATCATGTTGACAGTGACAAATCCACATCTAATCTCTCTCCGCAGAGTGCCAGGTTACGGGCCACAGGCATTGGCAAGGACTTTAAGGAGAACCCAAGTCTCAGAGATAACTGGACAGATGCAGAGGGCTATTACCGTAAGTTGTTGTCTTGAAGCAAATGCTGTATTTCAATCTATAGAATCCAAAACTTGTTTATAAGATTGAAAAATATCTAGGGTCTCATGTTAAAGAGGACATCAAAAACATGATTGTTCTTTTAATGTATTCAGGTGTGAACATTGGCGAGGTGTTGGACAAACGGTACGGGGTGTACGGCTACACTGGACAGGGTGTCTTCAGTAATGTGATCCGAGCCAGAGACTTGGCCCGAGCCAATCAGGAAGTGGCGGTGAAAATAATCCGCAACAATGAGATGATGTAAGACACTTCCCTTAAAAGCTGAGTGCTTAGCCTTTAAACACTTCTGTCTGGTACAGTTGGATTTCTTATCAAACCACAATGTGTGGTGTTGGCTAAGTCCACAGTTTTAATGTTCTCAATAAATTGTGTCATAGGGATTTATTTGGACAGGAACTGAGATTTAGAGTAGGTGTAGATGTGGTCTTAACGTGACAGACTGCCACATGTTTTGTCCCACAGGCAAAAGACAGGCCTCAAAGAGCTGGAGTTTCTGAAGAAACTGAATGACGCAGATGCAGATGATAAGTTCCACTGTTTACGGCTCTTTAGACACTTTTATCACAAGCAGCATCTGTGTCTGGTGTTCGAACCACTCAGGTACATTACAGTCAACAGATTCACATGCATCAAAGCAGCTTGAGTTCTTCTCTTAAAGTAACTTTCTTGTTTTCTGGCTGTAGCATGAACCTGCGGGAGGTGTTGAGGAAGTATGGTAAGGACGTTGGGCTACACATCAAGGCTGTGCGTTCGTACAGCCAGCAGCTTTTCCTGGCCCTCAAACTCCTCAAACGCTGCAACATCCTGCATGCTGACATCAAACCCGACAACATTCTAGTGAGTCACAATTCTTGTACCATAAATATTGGACACTGACTTCCATCTCTCTCTTATAATATGAACGTATTTGATACGCTGTAGGTGAACGAATCCAAGACCATCCTCAAGTTGTGCGACTTTGGCTCAGCGTCACATGTGGCTGACAATGACATAACACCATATCTGGTCAGCCGCTTCTACAGGGCACCTGAGATCAGTAAGTAAAAACATAACAAATCAAATTAAACCATCTTAGTTACCTGAAAATAAAGAGTTTTAATAAATGCATCTGAACTTGGGCAATGCTTGTTTTTAAGCTTAAAGATTTTTTCTTCCTCTTTTTTTGTAGTCATCGGAAAGTCATATGATTACGGAATCGATATGTGGTCTGTTGGCTGCACTCTCTATGAACTATACACAGGAAAAATCATTTTCCCCGGAAAGACAAATAACCACATGCTAAAACTGGCCATGGACCTGAAAGGAAAATTGTCTAATAAAGTAAGAATTCATCAGATATTACAAATTAGAACAAAATATACTAAAAAATAGACAAAATATTTTTTTGATATTCACAGATGATCAGGAAGGGTCTGTTCAAGGACCAGCACTTTGACCAAAACTCTAACTTTTTGTATACAGAGATTGACAAGGTCACTGAGAGGGTAAGTGTAAGGGCTGCATGTTTTGGGGGAAAAAATGATCTATTTGTAATATTACTGATTTAAAAAAAAATAATAATAATCTTGAGTTTTTCAAGCGGCAACTTCCCGCTCTCTCTCGGGAAGCCAACATGGAAGTGACTTAAACTGTAATTCGTCAACTGGCCACTAGAGGCTGGCTGCAAAAGGGAGTCAATCCCATAGACTCCCCATGTTAAAATGCCCAACTTTACAGCAGAAAAAAACATGTTTACAGCCTGGTTCAAAAAAAGATTTTGGTCTATATAGCTAATTTTGCCCTTAATGACAACTGTGAGGGGGGTGAATTTTTTTATAACTTATCCGTTTAAATTATATTAAGCCTCAAAGTTCTGCATAATTAAGGGCGTGGCCACTTGAGTGACAGGTGGATTGCCGCTGCTGTCACCACCGTCGAGCTAGCTGGGCGTGGTTTCAGCAACCAGCTCCCACCTCTTTGCCCATTTTTGATTATCTGGGAGTGATGCGCTGCCAAGATGGGGACGGCCGCCTCCGCCCACTTTGAGCTTCAAAAACACTCTTTGGAAACCTACGAATGACGTCACAGACACTACATCCATGTTTTTATACAGTCTGTGGAGTTTTTCCAGGTTTGCTGTGCTTATTTATAGGACTGCACAGTTTGGCCAAAAATTGTTATATATCAGCATGATTATATGTTTATTAGTTAGCTAATTAGCTGCCCACAATTTGAAATTTGTCTTTTGGCTTCATTATATAATAATAATAATGCTATTACTAAATAAAAATGTTATTACTAAAGTGTTTTTACTAAATAATAGTGTTATTATGAAATAAAAATATTAATATAAAGATAAATATCACTATTGCAATTTCACTGTAAAATAAAAAATACTGTATTTAAGAAAAATAATACAATAAACATTTTATTTTACAGTACAACTGTACTGTAAAATAAAATAAAGTACAACTGTAGACGCCAGGTTGCGCTCTCACTCTTACATCTAAGGGAGGACAGTTGTACTGTACCCCAAGTGAAAACCACTGATTTTGCAACTCTGCCAAGCCATTTTGTGATTTTCTTTTTCTTTTTTTCCAATTAATCATGCAGCCCTACTTTTATAACTATGAAAAATATCTGTATAGATTATTTCAGACTACTTAAAGACATTTTTTATTCGACCTTTGACCTTTTTCTTATTCTTCCTCTACACCTATGTCTCTTTCTCTGCAGGAAAAGGTCACTGTCATGAGTACCATTAACCCAACTAAGGACCTGTCGATGGACATGGTGGGTCGCCAGGCGTTACCAGAGGACCAGCGAAAGAAGGTTGTTCAGCTCAAAGATCTGTTGGACCAGATTCTGATGCTGGATCCTGCCAAGCGGATCACCATCAACCAGGCATTACAGCATCCTTTTATCCAGGAGAGGATATGATCAGCAGCATATCTCAGAGATTTATGATGGTTTTGTATCTGCAGATATGACTCAGACAACAAAAGACGTTTGCATATCTTATTGCCATGCTGTTTTATTTGTAGTACATTTCAGAGCAGGCCACAATCAAGATTTACTTTATTTTATTATTATTGTTATTATTATTATTATTAGATAGGGTGACCATATGTCCTCTTTTTGGACCTAAAAAAATGCGTCCGGCCGGGATTTCTAAATCGCCCAATATGTCCGGGATTCGGCTTTTACTTTCTACAGTCGCCATTCATCGTGTGCATTTTTGTATTAAAGCCCTGCGCGGGACTGTTTTCTTAATCCCCACTGCCTGCTCACGCAAACATTATAATATTGCATATGTAATTTTCGCGCATCAGGGAGCCGCTATCAGTATGCAGAGTATTTAAATCTCTTATGAATGAGCGTTCGCTGTTTACTTTCACTTTCGATTTGGCGATCACGCGCACTCTGTGTAAAGGAAGCACATCTTATAAGATCAGATATCTGTCAATCTGCTGAGCAGCAAATCCTTCAGCATCTGCCAGTCATCTCTCCTTACTGTCTCGACCCATGATCAGTTAAATCTGATGGATGCAGGGTTGCCAAGTCCGCGTTTTTTCCCCATGGAATTGGGCTACTGTTGCCATATTGATTTCCCCTGTGGGTTAAAGGTTTGAAATAATGCATAAATTACATTTGACTGAAATGCTTGTAACATTGAAACATTTTGCATTCTACCCTTGATAAACTGTGGTAGATGTTAAGTTTTGTGAAGGATTGCCACTGGTAAGAAGCCTTTTAGCTTTATGATCAATCTGCATAACAGTGACTGTAAAATATGTATTTTAGGTATGGAAATGACATATTTTGAGTTTGGAAATTATATAACCCCCCTCAAACCACCCACAAGCCCAACCACCAATCACACATCACATCTCCCCCGTCTGCTCCGGCCCCCACTGTCCTCTTTTTGGAAAACTGAAATATGGTCACCCTATATTAGATGACCTACAAGACCTAAAAGCTGTAAAGAGAAAATCTTTCAAGATAATCTATATTGTTAAGATTGCATGCTTTATACACAGCTTCTTGCTAATAATAATGTCAAATATATTTGATATTATGCTCAATGTTCAGTGTAAAAATATCCATTTGTGTGCTAGGTTCACAGACTTTATATTTGATGTAAAATTCTACAATTTTATGTAAACCAAATATTACTTAACCACCAAGGACTGTTTAGAGTGTGACTTATTTAAGACCAGCATAAATGCTGTCTATATCCACCCTCCCTTAGGCGTGAGAGTGAGAACTCAACCTGGCGTGCAGGCCCACGGCATGCCCCTTGCCCTAGGTGTGTTTCTGCAGAATCTGAGGTCTTGGGTCCTGCTTGACCTGGTCTGCAGGGAAGGCCTCTGTAAAGGCAGGTTGTACACCTCTATCGGTACACTGAAGGTAAGCGAATCCTTCCAAAACAAACGGGAACAATATTTTGCGTTCTTTTCAAGCCCAAAATAAAGTGTCATCATAATGCCCTTAAGGCTTCTCCTGCATGTTTACAAAATGTAATTTGGAGAAATGGACATGCATTGAAACCTTTTGTCACCCTTTTGCTCTGTACCAAAGCCTAGTGAGGCATCATAGATATATTATATTACTGTTCAAATGTTTGGGGTCTTTAATTTTTATTTATTTGTTTAAAAATAATATTATGTAATATAATATATTTAAAGTAATATTATTATATTATTACAATTAACAATTCCTGTGATGGCAAAGCTGAATTTTCAGTAGCCATTACTCCAGTTTTTGCTGTCACATGATCCTTCAGAAATCATTCTAATATGCTGATTCAGTGTTCAAGAAGCATTTCTTATTATTTTCAGTGTTAAAAATAATTGTGCTGCTTAGTATTTTTATGGAAAAGATTATACCTTTTTTAGGATTCTTTGATGAATGTTCAAAAGAACAGCATTTATTTGTTGTCTTTTGTAATATGGAAAATGTCTTTGCTGTCACTTTTTCATCCATGTAATGCAACCTTTCTGAATGAATGTATTAATTTCTTCCAAAAAAAAAAAACCCTCCTGACCCCATATTTTGAATGGTAGTATACACTGTGCAATACTGAAAAGCATTATAAAAAAGTGTCAAATGAAAAACAATTTTACTCAAATTTTGAATGACGTGCATTTATTATGTTTGATATAGTATTGCAATCGAGAACCTATGTAGAGCATTCCAAAACATTCACTTTTGAGGTGCTGCCTTAGTATGCAATAGGTAGTGAGGCAGCTTCACTAGATTTTGGAACAGAGCTTCTGTTGTGGTGTTTCTCACAGAGACAAAACAGTCAGTATGAATGAAAAGACTGACTATCGCTTTCTCAAAAATGGAAGGAACCGGTTACGGTTGACATTAAGGGTAAGAGTAAATCCAAGTAGTTGCAATGGACTAAGCACCTTCAGTGTGCTGCCTCTGATAGACATACCTCACCTTTTTCAGAGTTGTCACACTTATGTGTCATAGTTTTTGTACAATCTATTGAGTGCTTTTCAATATGCATGAGAAAATGTAATATGTATGGATTCCAATGCACTACTGTACAAACCCTCTGGTGTTTTTCATTATGCGTAGGCAATTTAGATGTCTTTTTTGTGACTGTTCTTGTGTTTGTGACCATGTTGTCTTTTGATACAGGGGTTTTCCTGCTCTGATCTATGAATCTGCTTGTTACAAGCGGTAATTGCTTCTTTATTCATATCTCAATTCCTTGTGTTCCAAATCTAAAAGATAGACCGGTCATAAAGTATGCTGGAAGAATTATCTGCCTGTTATTTTTTTTGCAAAGCCTGTCCTGCATGATAATGGAATAATTAGAATTTATTGTAAATTCACATTATTTGTTATCATTAAACAATATAAAAATAAAGCTGTTTTGTGATGAAAAAAAAAACACGAATTTAGAGTTCCCACAAGTTGTCTGTCTTTCAAGCATTTCATTTGAGTTAATCATAATAACACTGTAAGAACATAATTCAGTGTCTTTGGAACCTTATGGTGGGTTTTGTTTCATTGACACTAACTGCTGTTTGTGCTGTTTCTCCCACTGTTTCCCACTGTGTTCGAGTATATTCTCTGGCCAATGGAGACATGTCTGTCCATCATCCTCCTGCCTGCCTCTGCTTTCAAAGGGACGAGACCTCTTCAAGGCCCTTTATCCAGGTCACTCCTAAAGGCATGTTTAGATCCAACACAAAGCAAAGATCTGATTAGAAATGAACAGCCAGTTCAGAGGGCTGATTCTCATGGGATTAATGTTCTCATCTCATCTGTAGTATCGATAAATGCCTTTATTTTACATTTCTAATCCAGCTTTTTGGGCTGTAGATATGAGATGATATCAATGAACTTGACAGCATACAATGGGTTTTTTAACTGCCAAGCACCCAAAATATAATGATAAATATAAAGGCAGCTATATATTTTTCTGTATTTAAAACCCTTGTATTTTGTATGTGTAAATTCAATGAAATATAACATTGAAAAGAAAAGAAAAATGAAAAAGACAACAGAATAATGATCACTGAATAACCTATCCATATTCAGCTTTGTGAGGACCTTGCATTGACTTTATCCATTGGTGTGTACCACAGAGGTTCGTTCTTGGACCGTTTTATATTCAAGACCTAAATGGACTGATTTAGTCACCTTTTGTGTCGGCTGATGATTGTGTATTTCCCCAGGATATTTCAAGAATGTGTGCTTTCTGTAATGTATCAAGATACTGGTATATTTATTCTCTGTATTGTAGATGCTGTCTGTTAAAGAAGACTCTTAAAGGAAATCTCATCTGGAAAAGGTTTCTGTTTTAGAGCGAGCTCTTACGAGAATTAAGCTGTTGATTTTAAGCTGACAATATAGTATGTGGTTTAATAAGTAGTTCCTCATTTAGCCTGTGATAAAGTTTGACAGTTACTGAATCTGTTTTGTTCTTTTTTTAAATAAATGTAGTCAAATCCAAATGTATTCATGCAGTACAAGCCAATTTTTGCCTAAACCCAATAAATACCTCCTAAATTTGCAATTTATAAGCAATTCATTCTTATAATTCATACACCATATATAATGCATATATACAATGCAAGTTCCTAAAATAAAATAAATTGACTCAACGTACATAAACATTGTTACAATCTGGTATTAAACATTCCAGATTTATCAACCAAAAGGTAATGCTTTTCCTTTTTCAGAAATACATGTTTGCATATCGTCCACAAAAGTAACCGTTCCTTTAACCACAACTAACCATTTTCAATTCTATTTTCAGGGTAAGTGTTCAAATTTTCCCTACTTTCATGGCCACATGTGACTCCCAAGTGTGAGAGAGATCCTGACGGCCAGCTGCTGTCCTACTCTATTATTGAAGTGCCTTTCAAGAGCTCATCTTCTTATCCATTCAAGGGGGAAATTACCGACATCTGTGCACAGCATAACAATATGTTCATTTTTTGTCAGATTATACAGCCAATATTTCACAAGAATATTAATAAATGGTGAATTTTAAAATTACTTATTGTCTGGTTTTGTTTCATTTTTACGTAGAAGTCTTTTGATAAATTAATAACACTATTACAGTTAGTTTTGCTGCATGTGGTTAGAGCATGTCCCTTATCACTTGACTATATCAATAAAAAGCACCCAAAAGCCCACAAATAAAACAAAGAGCTACTGAAGAAATGTTTTGGGTTACTGTGTAAGATGTTTTTCCCCAAAACTGAAGTTATTTTTCTGTGGTAACTGACAGCATACCACAAATGTTGTTGATGGAGCTCAACTTGTATTGAATTTGGAACAATAAATACAGTAACATGCACACAGGTAATTACACACTGTCAATCTTCAAGCTTAAAAACCTTGAAAATAATTATGTTTTCTTGCAAAGAGCTTTAGCAGGAACACTAGTCTTTTCAGAGGAAGTCTTCTGATGCATTGGCATGGCTTTCTTTGTGGGTTTGCATCTCTTGGAACTATTTGGACTATTGCATTTTGGTGACATGCTCGAATGAACAAGATCTTGAACAAGGGCTTCAGTCTTCTTTAATTTGACCACACCAGAGTGTGGCTTCTTGGGTAAAGCCGGTGGCTGCTGAAATCCAATCCACATCTTCCCAGAATTTGGCGAGGGGCGATTACGTTGCATAGACTTTGAATGAGTGCTTGTAGAGAGGGTGCGTTTTGTAACATCTTCTAAACCTGAATTATTTCCTTTAGTCCTGAAGTGTTCTACCTGAGAACAAGGGCTTTCCACATGTCTCAGACGACTGGCGCTTTGAACCAAAGCAGTTGCTGGACGAGATCTGGCTGCTTTTCCTTGTTCTTTCTGTATAGTCGCAGTTTGAAGTTTCTCCAACTTTATCATGCGAGCAGCCATAGCTGGGAGACCAGGGTCAGTTAAACACAGGTTGTGCTGGCTATCCAGATCATCTGCTGTGGATAGTAACTGACTAAAGTTGAGATCTTTGAGTGGAAATGGAAGAACCTCAGGATACACTTGCTCTCCTTTTCCTTCTGCAAGTTCTAGATCTCTATCAAATGAGTCTGGCCTCAGGTCCAATTCTACAGCAGTTTCCCATTTTAATATAGGTTTATTGTCTTTCTCTTGGTCAGAGAGGTCACTGTTTTCAGATTCGACTGATTCGGATGGTTCATTATTGGATCTGCAACAAAGGGAATTACTGATTGCCTTGATCTCATCTGGTCGTACGCCCCTTGGAGAAACAATGCGTCTGACCTGTATGGGGTGGATTTCCAGTTCTATTCTGGTTTCTACCTCAGGTTTATGTTGGGAAATGTGTTCTTGTGTGTCCCAGAGGATTGGAGGCTGAAGACCAAGCCTCTGCCATCTGTGTGACAGCATCCTTAACTGGGTTTTATGATGTTGCTTTGAGCTGAAGAAAATAATTTGTACAGAAACAGCAATTACAAGAGAAATATTTCTCTAGATGCCATGTAACCTCTTCAATAGATGTCCAAGCACTGTGGCATGGAGTATCAATTCCAGGTTGGCAAAGCGTGAGAAGTCTAGTGTTGCAGCATGATATAAACTAAGCTACATCCAGTTCAACAAAAGGTTAAGATTCCTGGCAAACACATCAAGTCTCTGTGCCAAGTCCTGATCTACATTTCTAAGATATTCATTTTACATTAAACGCAAATTAAATTAAAAAAACATAATAGAACACCTACTGCAAATAATACTGCCACTGCCAGCATAATTAGGATTGATATTTCAAAACACTTTACACTTAGATGACCCTGTCACACTAATGGCTGTCATCTGGCTGGCAATGCATGATGGGTCAGTAAGAAGTCAGTATCTACTTACACTTTGGATGATTTTGTTTGGCTGCAATGGGTGGGTGGTTCCTGTGCCATACAGGCATTAGAAATGCTGCCTACCAAAGATCCCTGCAAAATAAAATGCATTGCAATCTTTATGATTTTCATTGAAATATACAAAGACTTATCTATTTGCACACATATTACTTACAAATGTATCATTGTTACTGAATGTCACAAAATATCAAACATTGAAATGAACACTACTTTTTTTTACATTTTATCATTTTTATTTTCTTTTATTTATATTTTTTTAAGAAATGCCACTTGGTTTGATACTTTATTATCTAATGCAATAACATTCAGACATTTTAAGTGTAGCTTAAGTGTCTAAATACATTTATTACACCTTGGAGTTACTGTACATTCATATTTATATATATATATATATATATATATAAATTAAATAATACTCAAGTTACAGTCGCAGCTAAAGTAACTTCATATGCAGAAGAAACATTGATACCTGTTGTGTGTTCACTGCCACAGACATGTACAGACTTTCCAGTCGCTGTACTAACTGAGTAATGTAGACGTCCTGTGAACAGAATATTCAAACAAGAGTGTCAATAGACAAATGATATGTCATCTAAAGTTACCTCTGTGGACACACTAGTTATATGTAATATGTCTATTAAAAACATTTCACTAGCAGAGATAAAAATTATTTATTACTATTTGAAACCTTTTGTTGGCAAAGACAAAGTTGTGAAGGTTCAAAGTTTAAAACAAGATATTTACCCCAAAACCCCAATTGATGACATGCAACTACTGGATTATGATAATATAAAGGTTCTGTTTCTTTTGGGTCCCATATAAAGGGTCGTATTCATAGGAATAAACCCCTTACCTTATCACACTCTGCTGACCAAGAGGCACCTGGGATGAAACAAGCTGTCAAGATAAAACATCCCTGCAAGTCTGGAACGAAACTATGAAAAGTGTGCCGTAGACATGCACTCACCTTCAAGTGGTGGTGGAGTGAGATCTGTCCGAAACCTGCTCTGGACCCGCCAGTTACACTAAAATGATTACGTACATAAGCCAAATTCACATGACAAGTACAGACAGACTTCTAGTCAGTGATGTGCTAGTGAACCGCTCATATTTCTTTTCGTAATATTCTATGAAGACCCCATTTCAAATTTGGATTGACCTCAAAGTCTCCCACTGACACTTTCAGCAGGTAAGCGATGATGTCATGCTAATTTGCATACTGACATGTGATTGGTTTTCGGTTTTCTTCTATTTACATATTACATTGTGATTGTTTTCTTCCTTACGTGCATTTAACATTTATATTACTGCCACTTACAGTAGGTGCAGTAGACGGGTATTTAGTAGGTGCGCTGCAAGCCACTCCATTATTATGCGACTTCCTGCTGTTTTTATCCCTCGTGCTTTCCATAGAACAATCATTGATCCTTTCGACCGGATAAAAACATGTGGAATGTTCTTCCAAGTGTTCCTCTTTCTTTGTCGTCCAAGTTCCCGGCGGTCGCAGAATTTTGATGAGTGAACTTCATTATATCTCGTCAAAATGTAATCATATAGCCTATGTCAAAAGTGAAAGCACATGCGACTTCCTCCTCCAACACAAATAATGGAATGCTGAAACCATGGCAACCCTTCACTGCCTTTTAGTCCACGTGTATTCTAGTTTTATAATCTGTGTGCTAGGATAATCCTAAACACCGAAAAAACTGTTTAACATTTTAAACATATTTCATGCTTGGAAAAAAATGTGCATGTTCATCGCTAGGCGGAGTCTAATAGACACAAAAGGGTTTTAAAGACAAACATCTGACCAAAATATTGAATTAAGCTTGTAGATTTGATACGTCACACCGTGCGTGTAGTGTTTATCCTTTTTATTATGTTTTATGTATTTTTTTAATTTTATTTTTATGTCATATTTAACCTCAGATTATCAGTGACTGAAAAGCCAGCGTCAGTCACATGTACCTGCACACAGTGGAAAGAACAGAACATACATTGGCTTGTCTGTCACTTCCTGTCGTGCGCAGAGCAGGCAGACAGATTTAAGGTGTGTTTGTGCTTTGTGGTTATTTGTCCCTGTCTGCACTGCACAAATATATTCAACAGCAAAGGAACTGCAATGCCTTTAACATTTAGTAGCCTGTTTACTATTAAAAATAAATAAAGAAATAAACCAAAATAAAAAGCCAAAGTTATGACTACATTTTATTCAGCAGTTTTTTTAATCAGTAGATGAGGTAGAGTTATTATGTACAAAGGTAGACATTGTGCATCACTTTGAATTCAAGGTACTTTTTGAGGGTGTTGTGTGTTGATTTTTGAAATTCTTGTATATGGTGTGTGCAAGCACGTGTCTGTTTTCTAGTGAGTGTAGCCTATATGTGTCTCCCCACAACACCCACAGTGAGTAAACCAGACATATAATGTATGTCATAGTCCCAACAGTCCTTGCCACAGTACGCATTTGTGGCAGTCTGCCAGATTTTAATGACTAGTATCACATTTAAAAGTTGTTAGTTATTCTCACCTGTATATTAATAGAAATAAGACATGGTGAGAAAGTGTGAAATGATAATTGCCACTGGAAAAGTACCATCAAAAGCTCTTATTTATTAACTTATTTAGCCATAAAGGGAGTCTATTAGATACCCTTAAGCCACCATTTAGGGGTAGATGAGGGAAAAAAATGTTGCACCTTTTTTCTGACCCTGTATCTAATGATATCAATGCATGATGGAGAAAATGTGTTTAAGCATAGGTGTGTGTGTATGAAAGAAAGGGAATAAGACTACAATTAGGAAGCCTGCTTAGCAGGTTTTATTGACATTTTGTATTTAATATACTGTTTGAAGTTTTACAAAAGGAGCAGCAAATACACATTATTTTTTGGTGTGATGTAAAAACAAAACATAGACACAAATACCCTGAATGTACACAACTGGCTTTAAACCATGAATAAAAACATTCACAGTTCTACTTTTGCAGCAATAAAAAGACAAAAATATCATAATATAATAACATTTATAAACATTAATAATTTTTGGGAAGAAAAATATTTTTAAAAGAAATTCAGTGCTCGTACACGACAAATCATGTTGCTATACAACATTTAGATATTAATGCTGAACAAGAGATGGAAAATAATGTTACAGTTAAATGGACAAAACAGT